TAAGTCCCATGATCCTCTAAGTACGGGGGGATCCGTTTTTGTGGGGCCCTCTTCCTGGGCTTTTTAAAATACTTTAGGGGTTGATGGCCATGTTTTAATAAGGACATGTAGAGGAATGTAGGCTTAGGGTTTAGGGTTGGGTCGCTCTTTGGGGGAGGGCCTTCTCGGGTTGAAGTTTCGAAGGCTTGGGCGCGAGCTTCCGGTTCAGGGCTTCACCGGTTTAGTTTAAAAGCTCGCCTGGGTGGCTCGCGACCTCGTAAAACGAAGACAAAGCATGCAAACAAAGTGCAAAAGACCCTGAAACCCTCACAGAAACTCCGTGAAGCACCTGATGCCAGCGCTCCACGCTGCATGAAAGCGTGTTGGACGAGCCCTCCACACCCCGTCGGCCTCCACCAGCGGGGCGCTCGCTTGCGCGGTCCGGTGCCGCAGCCTAAGGCAACCAAGACTCAAACCTCCCATAACCAAGGGAGTTCACCAAGGTATAGGACTTAGGCAGGAAGGACTCTTTGACACCTAGTACCCTTCTCGGTTTGTGCGTCTCGCGGGACTTGGCGGGAGTTCCTTCACTTCTTGCCCCTCAACCAAGCAAGGGATCTTCCTTTAAGGAAGGCAGGCCTGCAAACCCTAAAACCCTACACCCTACAGGCAAACCCCTCAACTCCTTAGAACCCCCTTGACACTGGGGATCCCTCGAAACCAAGGTCTCATGGATATGATCGGCGGCTGCGAACCCTAGGGCCCAGAGCCCGGCACCGAAACCGCAAGTCTGCTTGAATAGATCAATTCCTGAATTATATATATATATANNAGATAAACAGATAGATAGATAGATACAATCTAAGCCCGGCCGCGCATCCCACCAACCGCGTGCGGTCTCCGGGATGGCCACGGGCCCCAGCCGATCGGGCACGCGGGGAAGCGAACCTTCGAGCTGCGCCTCGACTTTAGGGTTTAGGATTTTGGGTTTAGGATTCGGGTTTCGACTCACACACTCGCACAAGGCAGGCATGGCAATGAGGTTCCGAGCTAGGATTCGGGTTTAGGGTTTAGGGTTTAGGATTTAGGGTTTAGGATTAGGGTTTGGGGTTTAGGGTTTATAGCGTTAGTTCAGCAGGTTAAAGGAGGTGTCCCTTTTGAATGGTTCATGTAGGGCTTCCTGGAAGGGTTTCTGTAAGGTTTCAGGCTTTGGCAAGCCCACTATTCTCCATAGCTAAGGCATGGAACGTAATAGGGTGTGTTCCTTCACTAAGGCGCATTGGGCTCTCAGTGCCTCTGTTTGGAATGCCCGGCCAGGGGTGTTCAGACCAGCCAGTATGCCGCTGCAGAAGAAGACACCATATGGGCCTTCGCTTGAGGTTTTGTAGGAGCTTGGTAAGGAATCCCTGGAAGTCAAAGCAAGGAGACTTTGCAAGGGCTGAGAGCGTAGGACAGTTCAGGGTTCTTGTGGGTTCCAGCTCACAAGCCACAGGCAATGTAAAGCTTCAGTCATAATGAGGGATGCTGAAAATCCAAAGGTTTTTTTAAGGTGACAAACTCAACTGCAAAGCCTTGCCAACCAAACTCGCTGAAGGCGACGAAGCCGTTAGCCAACATCCCCCGCAGGTTCTGCAACAGGTGGTCCATGTCTTTGTGCACGAACATATGGGAGACGGCGCGCCACCACTCTCCAGACTGCAGTGCAGGCTTGTTCAACATCCATCTTCCATGCATCTGCAACATTTCGGCCGGGGAGATGAGGGTTTGCCTGCCCCCGGAGCATTGACCTGTAACTGCCTCATGAAGCGTTGGCATCCTTGGCTCAGAAAGTCAATCAGCCCGAGAGGGACCCGGCACAAGATGAAAACCCCAGATGTCCTGTCTTATTGAAGGCCTCTGCACGAGGATCCGTGACAGGAATGCCGAAAGTCACTGGACTGTAATCCTGAAACTTGAGTCGTACAGCCAATAGCCTAAACCAGAAAGACTAAATCTGAACCCTTGCGTATTGGAGTGTCGTCATGCTTTTTCCCGGATGGCGAAAGATCGCTCATTGAGCCGGGGGTCGCCCACATGGCCAGCACCAGTGGGCCCAGGCAGAGGACATACTCCAGCTCTTGCTCAAAGTACCCACCAACCATGTGCAAAGTTCGGGATCCCTCTTTGGGGCCACTACGTCACAGGATCCTGCTATCTACATCAGGGGCCAATCAGGGACCAACATTAGTATGGGACAGTCTCGGGTGTCTGTTTGTTTAGGGTTTGGGGTAATGTTTAGGGTTTAGGGCTTAGTGGTTTAGGGTTTAAGGTTGGCTTAGGGTTAAAGGGTTTGGGTCCATTGCTTTAGTGTGTCTTGTTGTTGCCTCAGTTTGAAACACAGTTCAGGGTGTGAAGTTTGTCGGTTGTCTTGTCTGTGGTTCATCTTTTCTGCTGTCGAAAGCTTCGCGAACCAAAAACAAGCATTGTCATGCGTTCAGCTGTCACCTCGACATCTGCAACACGACCCGCCCATCATCACCCCAAAATACATTCTTCTTGCGATGCGGGACCGAGCATTGGACATGCACTAGTGGCAAACTTGTGGCCTGTTTTGCGTTTGCAACATCTCGTAAGATCTCGTGGTTCTACGGACCACGTCGCCATGCCGCATAAGTTGCCAAGGCCAGTGCTCCGCAAGCCGCCGCCAATGCGATCGCACTAGCCATGTTGAACTCAGTCTCGCTAATGGGCATGAATTCGCTAGTCGGTGCCAGCTCTCGCCGAAAGCGAGACGCTTTGTTGGCATATTTGCTTGCATGCTGACGTTGCACATGCAGTCGGTCTGCCTCCTGGTAGGTCTTCTTCACCTGCGCATAGCGTCGCTATCAGTGGCAACAGTACAGTAACTGTCCGGCGAGCTGGTTCTATTGACGGCTTCCGGGAATCCACAAAGCAGCAATACGTCTCGTCAGGAGTTTGGCATCACCCATGCGCGAAAAAGCATAATCCCGGCGATAAAACCGAACTCAAGAACAGAAAACGTATGAACTGAACCTTATGCCGTGAAAAATGACAACAGCATTCCTCGCAAATGTCCGTTTGTCCGATGCAGGTTTTCGTCCAAGTGCGAGCGTTAAGGTACCAGCACACATGCAAGCTTCGAGGACCCCCTCAAGCACACCTCGGCTCGACGAATTATGTTCCGCCGATCCGGCGTTTTTTGTTTGTCACACATGTAACATAGTCTTGCAATGCATGTTGGTGGTTGGTGGTATGTCATCTTGGTTGAATTAAGTGAAGTCTGTCTCGCGGTGCATCCGAAAATGCATGGATTCAAATGTCGGACTTCGTGAACTGGCAAAGGCATCCGCGGACGCTTCGTTTGATTTATCAATTGCCATCTGTGCGCCAGCCATCGGATTGTCGAATTGTTGGCCCAGCCGCAGGCCTGGCCGAACGAGGCGCCGTGGGGAATCTACCGCCCAGACCGGAGCTCTTGGGAGCGAATCGCTTAGACTTAGCCGCCATAGCGCCCTGTTTTCATGTCGCGCCTTTTTCACACCCGCTTTTCGCGTTCCCGCACAGTTTTCGTCCAGATGGAAGTAGGGCAGGCCGGCGGCAGGGGCAAGAAGTGACGGATTGCCGTTAACACACCTTTCGGACGAACTGCATGTTGCAGCACTAAGGGCGCAAGCACAGCCCGGCCGAAGTACTTGATGCTTCCATTGCCGCTCACACCGGTACGATGCCCTTGCGGCGGCCATCTCAATGACTCGACGTGCTTGGAAACCACCGTTCCGCGTGCACTCAGGTCGGGGCGTTAGCCCGTCGCGCAAGCCGCTCGACCGCGCTATGGCTCGCATTCACGAAGCAGGAGCACGGGCTGCCACGAATGTGGCCCTGCAGGATTTTAGCATCATTTAACAGTCAACATCGACATACATCGACGTAACAGCAGCCTGCAGAATCGAGAATCGAGGTCTCGCCAACGGCCTCCCGCTCTGGCAAAGTGCTCAGATCACCGTTGAAGCCACGATCGTAAGCCTTCTGAAGCGCGACGGCAAGCCCCACCCACACCCGCAGGCTGATCGCGAACCTGGGACTCGCCCTGCCTCAAGCCGTCGACCGCAAACAGCGAACGTACCCAGAACATCCCAGAACTACGGCACGCCCGCGGCTGCAAGCTGGTCGTCTCGGATTGAGTTGGGCCGGCCGGGCCGGAACTTCAGCCGCAACACGCTGACCTTCCTGCGTTTGCTCGCGTGCGCCCACCCGGAATGCGCACAACGTAGCGGCCCGCCAAGCCATGGTACACCGATGGACTAGGGGGGTACGGCTTGGGGGGCATGGACACCCTTGGGTACATTTCTGGCTGCTGTTACTTAGCCCACACCCCCATATGCGCCACATTCAATGCTCCTTACTTGTAGGCCTGATTCGGTCAGCGTCTGGCCAACATCCCCTCAAGCTACATTTCAAACCCCCCGAATTAAATTCTTGTTGGCTGCTGCATGGATGTTGTATGCCATGTAGTCGGGCCACCCCTCGAAAAGTCCTTGCGTCTCCCCCTGTGCCATGTTCAGGCATGCACTTCGCAACGAGGCCTGCGGACAGCTGAAGTGGCCGCATATTATGAAACACATTTCGGCGCGCTGCTGGGCCTGTTGCTTCCCCAGTGCCTCACTGCCTAACTCAGGTGCGGATACATGGCTGAAACCTAAGGGAATATGAATGCAATAAGCGCAGGTAATCAGTTTCACGAACGAAGGGGCGGTGGCATTGCCAGCGCCACCTCCGTAAAAAACTTGGCCACTCGACTTGCCTTCCCCGGCAGAGGGACCGACTGCTGGAACCTGTGAAACACCCATTTCCAAAAGTTCTCCAGTGGTCGGCGTCCAGTGGCCCACCCGTGGTACTTCAGGAGCTCGTCGGCGAATGTGGCGCTGTTGTTTCGGCCATGACTGTCCTGCAGGAAGTGCTCGGCTGTCCAGTAGATCACGCTGCGCGTCTAATCTCCGGAACGCGGACGCGGCCGCCACTCTGGCTCCGACGGGGACGGCGAATAGCTTTCGGGGCTCGCGGCTCGCTCAGTCTTAGTCCTTCCTCCTGCTGCCCGGACGGCCTCTGCAGTGAAGACCAGCTGTCCGTCGACGTCGGCGCCCTCCAGACGCACTGCACCAAAGTGCACTGTAACCACCACCACGCACTGCCAGCTGCAGCTACGCAGACGACTCTCCAGCTGCACTCACTGCGCCCAAGAGCAGCCGCAGGTCGCCCCCCCCGCTGCACACCAGTGCCCAGGAGCGGACGACGGAGAACTACGGGGGCGAGCTGCTAGTTCTCTCCGATTCTCCTTCTTGAAGAATGTTGAAAAGCTTGAGCCAAAACGCTTACTTGAGCCAAAATGGCAGTTGGTTGCTCGACGAAGAAAGGCTCGCTGACAGGACTGTGGCCGGAAGGATGTGCACAGCATATCTCCTGGGCGGTTCATCAAGCCCCAACACCATTCCAGGATCTCCCGCACCGCTCAGGACGTAACTCCAAAGCGACTTGCTGAGCTTCGTGGAGCGGGACATGATTTGAGCATGCAAGCGGCTGGTGACGTCTGTTGGCTCCCAGCTCAAGCACCCGCGCTCCGCCAAGTTGCCGACGTTAAGACGGGCGCGTGCTTCAGCTTGGACGACTTGGGAATCTGTAGCGACACCATCGACACCACATTCCACGCTCACCGGCCGCGTCGCCAGTCGGAGCACGAAGGTTCTCTGTAGCCCAATGCCGNNTACCCAGGAAGCTGTCACGGTTCAGGACGGTCGATTCCTAGGCCCTAAAACCAAACCCTGAGCCCCGGACAGTCATACCGTGAAACCCTATAAGCCTTCAACCCTGTACCTGCAACCGGCTGAAGGCCAAGCACCCTGCAACACGAACCTGCTGGTTTCACAACCGTTCTGCTCTGCGTCGACACAAGCTAGGGCGCACATGCAATCACGGGTAAAGCATTTGACGCGATTGTTGAATGGCTAATTTCAAGTTCGTCGAAAAACGCTACGGACCCAAGCCCGGAATATACAATTCCCTTGCCCTAAGAGGAAGCAGAGTAAACCCCAGGCCCCAGGCCCTTTGAACACCTTGAAACGATCAGGAGGCATCTACGGCGCACCCGCCGTGATGCATGAACTTCTAAAGAAAAGCTTTCGCTCAGTGTGTCACCGATCTTTGTATTTCACAGCTATGCTCAGGTCCGAAAATGTTTCAAACTGCGTGTGACGTTGCACCAGCACAAGCCGAACCCAGGCCGAACCCCTGCAACGTCGAGACCTGCCAAGCGGAAGCGGGATCGACAAAAGGCGTACGTCTGTTATTAAAACATAGGCCCCGCAAACCCGAAATGTATATTTGGGGAGGGGTTGGGAACCAAGGCCCAAGTTACCGCGTTCAAGCATGCACAGCATGAATAATGTAACCGAGGGCGGTAACTCTCTTACGTACGTTACGTACCCCGAGTTCCATTAACAAGAAGCCCCTGGCCGATGGATGGGAGCTACTGGCTCCTGGCCAGGGGCCCCCCGCCTCAACCCAGCTGCACGACCGTAGCTCCACACGTTCAAATGGTCCGCGAAAAGCGAAGCAATGCGGTGCGTTCGGGACTTGAACGGAAGGCAAGGCCTGGTGTCGGGGCGTCCTGCCAAAAGCAAATGCAGGCGACGCTCTGCCAGGGTGGTTGGTAAGAACGAGGCTTCTGAGCTGCAGACTACGGTGGACCGTGGCAAATGCAACGCACAGGCGAGCCGAGCCTGCAAGCGACTGGGCTCCGACGCCACGAGCCAGCGTGCATCAGCCAAAACCTCGTGCAAAGCAGGCGGCTCGCTTGCAGCACCGGGTTCAGAGTCCGCGGG